TTAAGCCTGTCCATCTTGGCTCAGCAGAGATGCCCACGGCCAAGCCCACGGCAGTCTCTTCTCTATAGCCATTGTCTCCTCCTCAGAGCCTGATTCAGGAGGAGCCTGAGTCAGAAGCCTGGACCCAGCACACTCTGCAAGTGTTGGGCTGGAGTGGAACCTAGGCCAGTGTTCTCAGGCAAGATTGTCTGGGGCATCAGGCTGGGGGGATGACAGTGTTAGCCCCAGGTCCTAGGGCCACAGCAGAATAGGATCCTAAGTTACTGTCCTGGGGAGAGATGTTCATAGTCAACAGAAAATGTGCCTAGTTGTCCCAGAAGCTTCTAGAACAACAGAGATGTTAGAAAGGCTAGGATTCAGACAGCAGAGCACATCCATGGGACATCCAGAGACAGTGTCAAGTACCAAGTGTGGTGATGCTTTGCCCACTGGGCACCTCTGTCATCCATTCAGCCCCTCATAAGTCCTTATCCAGTCCTCCCATGTGCTGAGGCCTATGCAGCAGAGGTAGAAGGAGGGACTGGGCTGCCCTGCCCTGCCCTGCCCTGGGAGTGCCCCTGGTGCTCATAGGTGCAGATCAACCTTCCACCCGCGTCCTTGGCTCCTGGGAAGGGAAAGAGCAGCATATATATGGAAGGGCTCCCAGGAATGGAATAAGGGGGAGAAGACATGATGCTTCCAACAGAGAAGAGACCTGAGTCCTAGGATCATAGGGCACTTGAAACAAAGAGAAAGGCCCCTGCAAGAGGGCAGCAGCTCTGGGACTTGCTTCCCAACTTTTCAGGATACAGACCAGTTGGATGAGACTGATGAAGAAAATTCCCCCAGGAAAGCAGAGGGTCCAGGGCTCACAGTCACAGGCAGAGGGAATGTTGTCTCCCTTCTGCATCCATGGAAGGGGGTTTGCCTCCTTCTGCTGAGGATTACTTTGGGTCCCAAGTTCTAGAAGCAGAGAGAAGGTTTAGAAAACAGCCAGCCACGAGATCACCAAGACACCTGCTTATCTGGGACCTTGGATTCACACAGGAAAAGGGAAGAAATAATCTCCCAGTGTGGACGAACAGGGAGAAGGGGGGTTGTTTGAGAGCATGGTATTGGCAGGGACACCTTGGTGTAGAAAAAGAGGCTGGTCATGAAGTGATCTTGGCAAGTCCTTAACCAGAGGCGTGCTCCTGAGCTATGCTGTTCCTCAGAGCACATCTCATTTCATCCAATGACAATAAAATCCCTGGCCCCTGCCCAAGTCTGTTCTGGGGAAACCCTCTCTCTGGAAGAAGGGCTCCCATCTGAAGCCAGGCCTTCCAGGCACTTCCTTGGCTACTGGACGTGGCTTGGCTTAGAGGGTAGGCCTTTGGAGGTCTGCTTGGAAGGATCTGGACGAGCTGGGAGAGCCACAACTGTGCTCTTGGAATTAGACCCTGGACCTGGGAAGTCATGTGTAAGCCTTGGCTTTCAAGAGCCTCTGAAAGTGACCAAAGTTGGTGACGGCTCTTTGGGGGTGTTGGGGATCATCCTGGTGAGCAGGATTTGGGGCAGTGGCACCTTGCCTGGAGTGGCTTAGAGGATTCAGTGCCCACCTGCTGAGGTCTGTGGTGACAGGTGACTTTTGTTCTTCAGACTGGGCTCAGGTGATGCTTAGAGATTGTGATGGGTGATTAGTGAGGGCTTTCTCTATTCAAATGACTGAGACCCAGCTCCAGGTCAACTCATCAATTGCCCTCTTCCGTGGACCTCCAGGTCAGTGAACAGTTCCTTGGCTTATTGTAATGAGGAAGTCCAGCAGGCTGGTCTAGTTTTGGTACACCAGACTCCCAGGTAGAAGATGTCCTCAGGATAGCCTGTCCTCCTTCTCATGACAAACCTGCTGCTTTATTGACTTGGCTCTCAGGCCTTCTCTTCCTACGTGCCCCTGTGATTCCTGCTTGTGTGGGACTCAGGATTCAGATCATCAAAGCGCCATTGGCAGCTCTTAGAACAGCCGCTAAATAGCCTTGCTTGGGTCACAGATCTACCCCTGAACTATCACATGTTTGGAGAGACGACAAACCAATCAAGAGATGGCTGGCCAGCTGGGTGGGATGGCACATGCCTGTAATTCCAGCAGCTCAGGAGGCTGAGGCAGGAGGATCATTTGTTCAAAGCCAGCCTCAGTAAAAGTGAAGGACCCTTTCTCTAAATAAAATATAAAAAAGAGCTGGGGATGTGGCTCAGTGGTTGAGCGCCCCTTGGTTCAAGCTATGGAAAAAAGAGAGAGACACGGTTGGCCAGCTGCACCCACTTCAGTGGTTAAGGAGGCAAGGTCAAGTGATGCCAACCCAGTGAGATGGAGGAACCTTGCTCCATGACCTTCAGCCAGGGTCGTAGAGGAACTGCTGGGACTGGGGCTTCCTGGCAGAGACTGATGGGACTCCTGAGAGTGCTACCCTAGAGACTGAGGGGCAGATATCCCACCCAGGGTCCCCTGAAAAGGCAACACCCTCTGGCTGCTTTGGGGCCCAATCAGCCACAGCTTCTGAGCATCCAAGCCATTGTGGCCTGGGCTTCCAGAGGATGGGTGGTGCTGCTCCAAGCAGCCCTCCCTCGCCTAATAGGGTCAAAATGTGCAGATGGCTGTGGGTAAGACAAAGTTGGCCACTCCCATCCCATTCAAGCAAGACACAGCTCTTTACCAACCTGAATTGTGCCAAGAGGGGAGTTCCATGTCCACCCAAAGCCTTGGGTCAGAGTGCCTAAAGTGCCCCCCACACACTGGCTGCTCCTGCTTTCCTCTGCCTCCTGCTGCCCAACACTGCAAAGAGTGGACAAAAACCTCCTTGGACATCATTCTGGAGACAGATCCTCTAGCACTTCTTGACCAGCTTGTGGGACTCAAGGTCTTCCTGGTTCAAAAGAAGTGGACAATAAAACCTTTCCCACCATGTCAATGAGTGGTGGTCCTGTCAGCCTTCCTCCCTCAGAGTGTCAGATTGGCCTCTTTTGTTAACCTATATGTTAGGCAGGGGCTCCCCACGTCAAAGGACCCCTCTTCTAGCGTGGCCTGGACTCCAAAGTGAGCATCCATCTCCCTTTAGCAGGTTCTGAGGGTGCTTAACACACAATCTGAGCTATCAGCTCCCAGGAGTATCAGCTTCCTGGAACCATTCACTTCACCAGAAGTTGAGTGAGTACAAGTGTCTGGTACCCTTATAACCATCTTCAGACCCAAAAGTTGGGAAATGCCAGTGGATGTCAGTGGAGTGTCCACTAGACTCTGAACTGTCTTTTGGCTGCTGCCCTGGCCCCAAAAGTGGATGCCAGTACCTGCCTGTCATCCCACAAGTTGCTCAATGACTTCAGCTGTTCCCTCTTAAGAAGTTAAGCCTCACCAGGCACAATAGCACACATCTGTAATCCCAGTGACTGGAGGCTGGGGCAGGAGGATTGCAGGTTTAAGGCCAGCCTGAACAACTTACAAAGACCCTGTTTCAGAATAAAAAATGAGGGCTGGGAATATAGCTCAGTGGTAAAGCATCTCAGTGGTAAATCTCCAATACAGTTAAAAAAAAAAAAAAATCAAGCCTCCTTTTTTCCTTGAACCAGAAAACCATCAGCCTGCAGATCACATCCTCTTCTGGATCCTGTTGATAGGCCTGGTGCAGGAAGTCTCAGGGCCTGTGGGGCAGTGTTTAAATGAAATGCCCCCCTGGTCCTGCAGCAGTGGCATAGAATAGGGTTTAGGGCCCACATGCTCAGGGTCCAGTCAAGGCTCGCAGTCTCTCTGCCACAGTTCCTCATCACCTATGTACCTGTTTGCAAAGTGAACATAGCAAGAGGTGGCTTGGGCATGGGCAGTCCAAGTGAACCATCTTGGGAGATGGGAGTTTGGAGCCAGAGCAGGATGGAAAGGAAGTTAGACCTATGGTTTCAGTTCTTCCAGCAGCAGGAGTGTGTCCCCAGTTCTTCCTGACTGAAGGTTTGTGACTTGGTGGGCCAGGCTGCTTTTCTCAGGCTTATATGGATTGTGTCAAGGGAAGGCCTTGGTCACTGGGGTTGGCCAGGCCTGAGGTGGGAGATGGGCCCAGGGAGCAGAGGGCAGGACCTGGGTATTTTAGGTAGGTACCCTACTGCTCCCTGTCTTTCACCTCAGGCAGAGATAGACTCTGTGGCTCATGCTAGGTGGCCAGCAGGGGCCCTGGGTCATAGTATTTGACCCAGCTGAGGCCTCTGAACCAAATAGGCCTAGGCTCAAATGCCCTCTGCTGCCCGCCCTTTCTGGAGAGTTCTGTACTCTGCTTGCAGCTCTGCAAAGCCCATCGAGGCCCAGGTCTATTTGGCTCAGAGGCCCTTCTGGGGTCTCAGTTTCATCCTCTGTAGAGAGGGCTGGTTTAGTTCTCTGAGCTGTTGGCTCCTTAGGACCAGGATGCAGAAATAACCTGCTGAGCCTTCATGTGTGGCTGCAGTTGTCAGGGGTCACCTGAGGCTATAACACTCATTTACTGTGATTGAAATGGCCACACCATCCAAGAGCAGCTGGGAGTGGCACTGAGGTGACAGTACTGCTGACCTGTGCTAGGAAGTTGTGAGGCGGTCTGCCTCGCTGCCTCTGAAAGCAGAGGAGGCACCAGCCTCCACCCTTCTCGTGGTCATAGTGGGTTGAAAGACCCTGAATCTTCTGTGCAGGGACAGAGCTCACTTGGCCTTTCCTGCAAGGTGCATTTCTCATGTGGGACATCATTATTTCTAATTGGTCTTTGGATTTTTTTTTTTTTTTCTTCATCAAACGTGTAGGAATGGATGGCAGTTTGTTTGGTCATCTCAGGGAGTGTGTAGGTCTTTTCTGCCTTAGATGAAACCCAGGCCCCTCAAGGCTGGCCAAAGGAAAGGCCTTTGCCTGGTGCCCAGGCCATCTGGCCCTGTGCCCTGCCCTCTGGCCACTCCTTCCCTCTGCATCTCTGCCCCCAACCCACCTCTGCCACCCTGCGAAGGTTCTCATGGCCTGTTCTTTCTTGTCCCTTCTACAGGATGGTGGTTTGTTAGCACCTCCGAGGAGCAGGGCTGGGTCCCTGCCACCTACCTAGAGGCCCAGAATGGGACCCGGGATGACTCAGACATCAACACCTCCAAGACCGGGGAAGGTAAGGGCTTGCAGGTTCTTGGGAGGGAGCATAGAGGTTGACATGCATGGCCAGCTGCCTCTGGGGTCAGCCCCTACCGGAGACGGGAGGCTCTTTTCCCTAAAACCACCTGAACCATTGAAGTAAGTGGGGCCACACCCAAGCCCCTTCCACGGTATAGAAACCAGCCCACAAGTGCACCTCCCCAGGCCTGTTCTGGCTGGCCCCACATGGGGCAGAGAACACAGGGGAAATTCCCTTGGTGTGTGGACCCCAGGCTTTGGCAACTTTGGGACAGAGACTGGGAAGAATAGTCTTAGAGCTAGAAACCCCCAGAAAACTCCCTGTCTATATAAGCCCTGGACACCTCTCAAGGACCCCACAAAGACTTGGCCTATGGTCCCAGCCCCATGCTGGGCTTCCTGCAACAAGAATGACCACAAGAGACTGGGTGTGTATGTGTGTGTCCTGCCTGGGTGGCCACCAGCCTGGCCCATGGCACAGGGTCAGGCAGGTCCATGAACCATTTCCCAGATCCCAGAGGAGGCTCAGGCCTCTCACTCGGTCTCTTTGATTAGCACTGGCTCCTTGAGGTTTTTCTGGGTCTTTCTCCTTGCATTTCAAGGAGCCTGCCTCTGTCCCCAGGCCATTGCTGGCCTTGGCAGCCTGACTGTGGACTCGGTATTCCCCAGAGCGGGCTGCCTGCCGAAGCCCAGGACTTTTGGGCCACCCCCAGTTCCCTGCTGCCTGCTCCTAGAGCCTTCCAAACCTCCCGTGGCCTGGAAACGGCCAATCTTTCCTTAACCAACTGTGGGAATGATCCAGAGGATGTGTCTGAGAGCCAGAGGAATTAGGCCTGCCACCCATGGCTCAGCCACTTCTAGGCCTGCTCCTCCCGCGCCCACCTCCCTGCTGCCCAGGCCAAAATAAGCAGCTCCCCCAGCACCAGCCCCTTGTTCCTCCCATCCCTAAATGTCAGTTAGTCGGTTGGCGGTTGGGCCCCACCCTTCTTCCTGTGTCACACTGATCAGAGCTTGGCCTTTTCAATGCACAGCCACCTTGGACAGGTCTCAGGGAATAGGCCCCATCAGGGAGGGTGCGAGTTTCAGGCCGAGCTACTCCCTGAGCCGAGGGACTGAGCCTGCATCCTCCCCCACTGGTCCTCTGGGGCAGTGGAAGACCTTGGCCTTGAGGTGGTCTGTCTAGTTTGTGCTCCGCAGTCCCCACTTCCTACCTAGTTCTGCTTCCTGGGAGGCATGCCACCACCTCTCGATAACAATGGCTCACAGAGGCCCAGGTGGTAGATCAGAGGCTTTCATTGCCCTTGCCACCACCCTGGGAGGACACTGTTGCTGTTCTGCATCTCTTCAGGTTTGGGCCCTCTTGGGCCTCACCGTTGTGCCACATGCCTCTCAGTGAACCATCTGCTCCTTGGCAGGGAGGCTACTCTAGGCCCAACTCCAGGAGAGTGTGTGGTTAAGAAGGCTGCACCAGCAAGGGCAGAGTCGGGGTGTACATGGTGGAGTGAGCAAAAGCCCAGGTGGGAAAGAGCCTAGCAGGCCTGGGAGCATGACACCAGCCTGGCCGGAACAAGACACAGGGGCTTCACATAGAATAGGTGGTGGCAATTTGTTGAGGATTTTGATCTTGATAGAGTAAGAATCAGACAGCAATCAGTGCAAGTTCTGCATTCAGGGGTGTGTGTGTGTACATGTGCACCCAGAGTGCCCCTTTTCTGCTTGCTTCTAGTAGGACCTGTGTGCCAACACCTGGCCACACATAGACAGCTGTGGATTCCACCATCACATCTCGGGCATACCTTGCTGGAACCACAGAAGGGCTCAGGGCTGGGTATTCCAAGCCCCAGGCCCAGCCACTGTGGTGTGTCCACAGCTCTGCAGCTGGGTGGTAGATGTGTAACTTAGCACCCCTGGACCTTTGCTTCCCCACTTGTGTGATGGGGCTTGTGCTCACCACACAAGGCTTCTGTGAGGCTTGAGTGAGATGGTCTGTGAGTGGTTTAGACTGGGCCTGGCTTGCCAGGAATAAATGTCAGCTACCATAAAAGTGGCCCCAGGTCCAGACATCAGCTAAGCCCCTCTGCCACCCAGAGAGGCCCCACTCCCTCACGCCACCCCATCTGAAAAACCTTACACAGGACCTGATTAATGTCCCCAGAGCTCCTTAAGACCTTGCTTGGCCCCTGCCAGACCAGGAGGTGTCACCCTATGACAGGTGAGGAAACAGAGGCTTAGAGAGGGATGAAAGGCCTCACAGAGTGTCACAGGTGGTGGAGTCTGAATTGGAATCCACACCTCCTCGCCTTTTCCCCAGACCTCTACTTATACAAGGCAGGTCAGATTCCTCCCAGGGAGAGCAAATGCATCCCAGAAGGCCTTGCAGGGGTTTGGGCAGTTTTTCTTTCATTCTAACCACTGGCCTCCCTTCCTCCCCTGGCCCCAGGCAACCTGACAGCCTCCTTCTGCCGTGCAGGAGGTAGGGCCAGCTAGCACCCAGGAGTCCTGGTTCAGTGTCCATTCCCCTTGGGAGTACCATAGGAAGGTAGGGGCATCTAGAACTTGGACCTGAGCACAGGGGTGCATGGGGGCTCAAAACCCAGCCATAATAACTAGAGGACCAGTGCACAGTCTGCGCAGAGAGCAGCCCTGGCAGAGGGATCTCAAGCAGTGAGAAACTGGGGAAACTCAGTCTGTGTTGTCAAAGATCCAAATGGATGACATGAAGGAGCAGAGCCAGGGCTGCGGCATTTGTCCCTGCGCATTTCATTCAGCAAACTTTTCCTAGGCCAGAGGTGCTGTGCTAGGCTCTGGGAATGCAGAGACAATAGGCAAAGTCCTGTCTGGCGCTCTAGCGCACTCCTGTAATCCCAGCAGCTCTGAAGGCTGAGGCAGGAGGATACGAGTTCAAACCAGCTTCAGCAGCTTGGCAAGGCCCTAAGCAACTTGGAGGGACCCTGTCTCAAAGTAAAAAAATAAAAAGAGCTGGGGCTGTAACTCAGTGGTTGAATGCCCCTGGATTCAATCCCTAGTACCAAAAAAAAAAAAAAAAAAAGAAAGGCAAAGTTGTCATCCTCAATAGACACCATCTAATGGGACAAGTGCGAAAGCAACAACATAAGCCGGAAAGTGCGAAGCCTGCCAGGAAGGGACCCCACGTCTCTCCTAGGCACACTCATCCCTCTCAACATGCTGCGTGGCCCATGATGGCAAGCTCACAATCATACTTGTTGATGTCAACCCAGGTGCTTTTGGACACAAGCCCTCTGAATCAGCCTTCCCAGGAAACAGCGATCCATCGCTGCAGCTGAGGGGCTGCCTCTCAAGGACTGCTGTAAGGGACTCTTTTTGGTACTGAGTTTGGACCCAGGGGCACTTTACCACTGAGTTACATCCCAGCTCTTCTGCTTTTTAAATTTTTTTTTTTTTTTTTTAAGACATGGTTTGCTAAAGTTGCTGAGGTCCTCCTGTCTCAGCCTTCCCAGTCACTGGGATTCCAGACATGCACCACCATGCCTGGCCAGGATCTTAAAATCTGTAGTTCTCTCCATGGCTCTGGGGCATAAGCTGAGAGGTTTGGGTTTGGTTGCATTTTTCCCCCACATGCCAACAATATCATCTGTCAGATCTACCCTCATCCAGCTAGGTTTGACCCTGGGCTCAGACTAGGTAATGATGACCTGGAAGCGTGCTTGGACCTCCCTCCCTCTGTCCCCTCCTCCTCCCCTCCCCCATCCCATCTCATCCTCATCTCCATTCTCTCCATTGGTTCGTGTTGGCCGCATGCTCCATCACCATCTCCCACACCAGTGTCCAAGAGACGCAAGGCCCATCTGCGGCGCCTGGATCGCCGGTGGACCCTGGGCGGGATGGTCAACAGGCAGCACAGCCGAGGTGACTGCGGGCACACGCCTCTCTTCCCCCCACTGCTGCTGTCTCTCACTAACGCCTGCTCCTTCCCACCCTCTGCCCTCTGACCTCTGCCTGTGGCCTCCTGACTTACCATATTTACAGGACAGACTTTCCTCTCACTTGCTGCAACTGGGAGTGGGGAAGGGGCCATGCTTGGGAATTGGGGCGGCACTAAGGGTGGTGCTGGTTTGCTGGTGTCCTGGGAATGGGGGTCGTGGGACTTCAGACACGGTTATAGGTCCCCCAGAAAGGAACAAGTCTTGAGGGACCAGGGGGATCTCAATCCCTATAAGGGCACCCCACCTCTCCATCCTTCATTGTCTCTTGCTGAGAAAGGCTCCATTGGCTAAGCCATCCTTGTGGCTGCTTGGGAACTGAGTGCAAAGAAGGACCAGCCAACAAGCTTCCCCCTTCGTCCAGCTCCACTTAAACTAGAAAGGTGCGGAAGTCAGGCACAGCCTGGAACCAGGGCACAGCCCTGACCAGTGGGGTATGGGGTTAGACCCCACCAATAGCAGCAGACTGGGGTTTTAGGAGGGGCTAAAGAAGAGGATTCCAGGGAGGCTCCTCACCTGGCCATGGGCTGATGAGGAGGGGAGACATTTGCTCTGTCAGAGTTTTCCCAACACCCAGGAGCTGGGGAGGTGAGGGAAGAAGGTACACGCCTTTGGACGTCCCCTAACCATCTGCAGAGCCCCCGACTGGTGGAGGACCAGTTTCTCCTGCCCCACAGAGAGCAGAATATGCTCCTCAGGGTGAGGACACAGCTGAGAGCAGCTTGTCACCCCTGAGAGGGGCATGTAATGAGCACTGGCCTTTTGGGAACACAGGGATGCCCCAGCTCATACTCCCACCCTCAAAGCTTGTTTCCAGAAGACAGTGGGAGCATGTTTTGGTGTCTGCCCCAAGCCTGAGGCAGCAGGAAGTCTGGACTCTTGGGTGGCCAAGCCTGTGGTTGGCTCAGCATCAGGCTCAGAACACTGGTCATGAGGAACCCAGCTTGTCCCCAGGGAGGAACATGGGCTGGAGCCTGGGGGCTGATGTAGGACAGAGGGATGAGTTGTAAAAACAGCACTAGGCCGAATGTAAAGCAAAGGCCACCTTCAACCTGGAGGGAGGAACAGCAGTGCAGGGAAGCAGCCCCAGCCATGGTGGCAAAAGAGAGTGGAATGGGGACCTGGAATCATAGGGACGAAGGTTGGCCTGCTCCACACTCCACACACTAAGCCCCAAACATGACTGACTCCACGGACACGCAGCTGGTGCAGTACACACCCTGCACGGCTCCCATGGCCTCAGTATGGCTGCGGTACCTTGTCACATCTAACCCTTCCTTCCCGTCACAGCTCCCCATCGACAGTCCTGTGCACACACACAACCACTCACAGGGCACAAATATAATTCCAATTATGCAGCCACACATAGACCATGCCACAAGTACATTATTTAGTCATCAAGGCTTTGTACACACAACTAACAGTCAATCACATCATCACATTCGGCAACACCCACAAGTCCACATACACATAACCCCCATACCAAGGGTTCACAGGCAGTGTAGTCACAGCTATTCACAGGATGATGCACGTGGACACAATTACACAACCAAATGAATACTTCCGCATCACCCATACATAGCAAATACCCAACCCCCCATAAGAGACCAAGAGACCTAGCCAGCATAATTTCCAGCCTTGCTCTGTTAAAGCAGGCAGCCAAGAGAGGCCTGCAGAGAGCTGGCTGGGGACAGCACTGCAAACAGCAGAGTGGGTGGGAGCAGGGTGGAGAGGGGGACATCGAAGAACTAGACAAGAGAAAGCAGTGCTTCCCTGGGCCCCGCTCCACTCCCCGTCCCCAGCCAGCCAGGCCGTTGGAATCAAAGGCCTCTCTTTCACAGAGGGGTGAGGGAGTTGTAGGGGCCGGGAGGGGAGCTGGAGAGACTGCTGACAGAGGGGAAAGTGTTTGGAAAGAGGAGGCCTCTGTGGTTTGGAAACTGCAGGACTTCCAGCCCCTGCCTCCCAAACCAGAACAGTCTGTCCACCTCCCCCTGCCCATTCACCCTGCCAGCCGCCTGGCCAGCCCTTACCAGGACAGGAGTGCCCCCTTCCCTACATGGCACAATCCCAGTCCCCAGGCTCCGGCACTTCCCAGAGCCCTGAGAAGTCCCTGAGCTCACAGTCTCCCACCCCCCAGCTGCTTCCTAGGGACCAGCTCTTCCTGGCCTGCCAAACCACTCAGGACCCACTGGGGCCGATTCTATCCATCTGTGTATTCTGTTGTCTGGACATCTCCAAGGTGGGGTTTGTGGCCAGGTCCATAAGAGTATCTGTCTCCACTTGTCCTTCAAGTCACCTGTGAGTTGGGAGGACCGTGTGACACATGTCCACATGGAGGCAGTCCATGCCTCTTCCATCTGAGCCAACCAGGACAGAAAGCCGTTCCCCATGGAGACAAGTGGGAAGAGTTGGTCTGACTGCCTGGCCCCTCCAGGGACGAGGAACCTGAATTCTCCCTCACTGTCCTGCCCAGCGACCAGGGCAGGGTGAGCCTCACTGGTAGCCAGTGGTCTTACAAGGAGCACATAAACTCCAGGGGGACATGTCACAGCCCAGAACTCTTAAGAACAGGGCCTTTTGCAGGACCCACTCAGTTTTGCTGGCAGAACTGATATCTGGTTCTGTCCCCCTTCCTATCCCAGGAGGTCAGAGAAGACAGGAGCTTCCATGGCCTGCGGACGCTTGTCTGCCACAGGCACCCTAAGAGGTTGCAGCAGTGGGGCCTGGATCTCCGGAAGGCGAGCCCACACTACATGGTCAAGGCCCTGTACTTGGTGGTGGGGCAGGGCAAGGCTTCTCTGATCTTCCCCGCAAGAACTGTCATTTTTCTCTGCAAAAAGTAACCTTGCCTAGGAAAACTTTAATGATGGCTTCCTGCTCAAACCACAGGCTTTTAAAAATAGCCCTGCCGAACAAAGACAAAATGTGAAGCGCAGGCCTCACCTCCCCCAGACCTCAGACCCTGGATTACCCAGCCTGGTGCTGCCCCTCAGGCCGCTGCCTGGGCCAGGGTTTACCGTGCCCCACTGGAAAATGGAGCAGGACCAGAAGCAGGCAGGAGAGCAAAGGTTGGCCCAGAGAGTGGGGAGCTGCTCCAAGGCCCGAGTCAGAGTCTGTCTGGGCAGGTTCTCAGGCGGGCTTGGCAGCAGTTCATGGGGGGGAGGGTCTGGGGTGGAATCTGAAGCCCCCTGGAGCAGGGCCCTCCCTGAGTCGGACTGAAGAAGGCCTACAGTTGTGGAGAGCATGCTGAGGAGTGGCACAGCCTCCCATGGGTTGTCACCCACCCTTTGGTTTTTGGCAGCCTTTCAGATTAGGCCAGTGGCCCATCGGTTCCATCCTTCAGCCTGGCAGGACAGCCGCCTCCACCCCAAAGGGAGTCACTATCTTGGCCCAGCACAGGGCTGCAGACAGGACCCTGATAATCCAGGAGAGAATGAACAGATGGCCCTCCCGCAGCAGGGAGCTGAGGTGGCAGCTGTCCCCCTCCCCCACAGCCGCTAGAGGCCCAGGCAGGCTGCCTGAGGGTCCAGCCAAGGAGTCCAGCGGGTGGTTGTCACAGCTGGGAGCCAGGAGGGGCAGGCTCTTAGAGGCCAGCTCCTGCTATTTCGAGCTCTCTGCAGGCTTCCCACTCAAGACACTGCCCCGCCCAGCCCGGCCTTCCTCCTCACGGAGCGGCCCACAGCCCCCTGCTCCTGCTGCACCAGCACACTTCCACCTCTGGAGCACCCAGGCCCCCGAGGACTTTCCAAGGGCATTGCCAGATCGTCAGTTTTTTCACCTCTGCTGTCCCTTGTTCTCCCAGTGAGGCTGGGTGGGAAGTGTGAGCCTTGAGCTGTCTGTCCCCTAGGCAGAATCTCACCTAGGAGGCAGGTGTCCTCCCTAGCCAACTATGAGTCTACCTGGTCTTGCCAGGGACAGGAGGAGTGGACCCAGCAGACCTGGAGCAAACACCTCCCTGGAAACCTGAACAAAGGCTGTAGAGGGAGCATGGGGCTTCCGCAGGAGGGAGACTGAAGGGGGCCAAGGGGATGCCTGGCACCCCAGCCTCCCCACACCTGTCCCCTCAAGCTCTTCCTGAGGTTCCCCAAGGTGCCTTTCTGTTGCCTTGGGAAAACCTTGAGCAAGACCCTGAAGTCACACCCATGAGAGTAGCGTAGACGTGAATGAGCAGTGATCTTGTGGACGGCCGGGGCCACACAAACCCAGGAACTGTGGAGAATGTGGGGCACCTGGCAGCTCCGCCCCTGCCACAGGACCTTTATCTTAACAAAACACAGCCACTCCCATAGGACTTGCGTTCCATGGAACTCTCCTGGGGACATTACATGACCTGCTGTCAATCGGGGGCCAGGTGCTTAGTGAAGGCTTCACCAAGGAGGTGCCCCTGGAGCTGTCTGAGGCTTAGAATGAGGAAGGATTTAAGGGACTGAGGCGGAAGCAGGGCCAGGAGAGGGCATTTGGGACACAGATGGAAACGCGGCACATTTGTGGAAGGGGTATCCTGAGGGTCCTGAAGGTATCAGGGGACATCCAGCATTGGTCTCAAGACTTTCTGACAAGCAGTTTCCTTCTAACTCTGCCTTTAGCCCAGGGAGCTTCTGGGGCCCTCTAAACTCCAGGCTCAGCATCCTGCTTGCCATTATTAGGCTGGGAGAGCTGGCTTTGCTGAACAACCTGGGACGTGGCTGGCTTTGACACACACTGGGCACGGCAGTAACCCCCGCCCCCGTGACCTTTCACTGCTACTCCTGAGGCCTGGTCCTTCCCTTCCCTGGAGAAGCCAGAGCTGACCCAGAGCACCTTGGCAAGCAGCTGAGCAAGGCCAGGCCTGGGCAGGAGGGGACAAGAAGCAGGGCCTGCACCTCAACTTCAAATAATCTTGCTCTCTTACTCCCACTGCCCACTCACAGAAGAGAAGTATGTCACCGTTCAACCTTATGTCAGCCAAAGCAAGGACGAGATTGGCTTTGAGAAGGGTGTCACCGTGGAGGTGATCCGGAAGAATTTGGAGGGCTGGTGGTATATCAGGTAGGACCCTTGACAGAGCCACAAGATGCCTCTGGCCCATCTGGCCCCTCCCAGATGCCTCTGGCCCATCTGTCCTGGGCCCACAGAACTGGGTGCAAAGTAGCTATGGCCATCCACTGGTGGGTACGTACTGACAGCAGCCCTGTACCAATTGTGCACATCTGGAAAGCTCAACCAGGGAGCGCTGGTCTTGCAGAGTGTCTCCGGGGGCAGGAAAGCAAGGCTGAGCACAGCCAGCACAGTGCAAGGCCCACAGGCCATGGTGCAGTTCCTTCCCGCTCATCTGCCAAGCGTTCAGCACATCTGAATTTGGTTTTCTGCGTCCGGCCTTGGCTGCCTGGTCTGATCCACAGTTAGAGCAGTTTGGAGCACTGGTGTCCCCAGGCCCTACTGAAGTCCCATCAGACAGCCTCTGCTGTCATGGCTCACCACCCAGGGCTCCTGATGTGAGCTTGTGGCATCCATGTCCCTGGCCTGTGAGGGCTGTTCCACTTTGCAGGACTGTAGTGAGACTAGAGTGGAAGAAAGGTCTGAGCCCAAGCCCAGTTTGGGCTATCAGAGGTTCCTCCTTCCCCTGCCCCATCCCTCTCCCAGAACCTAATCCCACTTCTCAGTTGAGAAATCCATTTGGGGTATGGGTCAGGGAGTGGGGTGGGAGGGAGGCAGTCTCCTGACCCACTGGAAGTAAACAGAACCCTGTGACTCCACTCACCATTACCAGACCAAGACCTGCCCTTTAGCCTCCTCTGCCCTCCAAGGCAGTTGCTCTCAGGAGACACTGTTGATTCCTTTGGAGAAGCTCAGCCATGGGGACTTGACCCAGCTTTTCCTCTGCTGCCACCTAGCTGGGGGAGACTGCCCCCTCTCTGTGGGCTCTGGGAATTGCCGTTTCAACCCAGCACACCCAGCAACCCCAGACCCTGCACCCGCAGGATGTGTACTGAATGGTCTCTCCCAGAGAGGCTTGGGTTGTGCTATGGCACCCCTATGACCAAGGCAATGTGAGCACTCACAGGACAGTTGCTCAGAATATGGCAGGACATGGTGGTGTTAAAAGTTAGTCTATGCTGAGCTGATGATGGATGAAGGCCACTGGCTACACAGAATCCAAACCTTAGTGTGACTTGGTAGGAGGTTCTCTCCCTCATGGTCCTTGCCCTGTTGTATATCAGTCAGGAGTAACGAAATGTCCCTTTTTGTCCTGCTAGGTGGGATGAACAGTACCTGGGTGTGTGTTGCCCATGGTCATTGCCCCTGCCTTTTATGTTTAGGAACAGAAACTAAAGCCAAGCCAAAGACTTAGCAGCCAGGAGCCTGAAGTGGAAAGGCCAGCAAATGTCTTGGCAGGCTGGTGGCCTCATTCACTTGCCTGGAAGTGACCTACAAGGCTGCTTTCTATTTTGCTTTGTTTTGCTTCATTTTTTGGTTTTCTAAAATGACCAGCAAAGTTACTCTGAGCTACTTCTAATCAACTCTTGTTCCCATGGCCTAGTCCTTGTCCCCATTAGCCAGTGGGAGTCCAGCTGAGAATACTGTGCCATAACAGTTCCACCTTAAGAAAGCTGCCAGATACCCCCTTAAGTATGCCATTTCCCAACATTCCAGGCTCTGTGTTGATCCTCATTTCCTGTCTTTTTTCTCCTCCCCCACCTACACACACACACACACCCCTCTGCTGCCTGCCCTGCTCAGAGCTGGGAAATGGCTGTGAGAGAAAGGGGCTCAGACACAGCCACTCCTGGTGCCCTTGCATTTCCCTGCCTGGAACCTGGATTTATCTAAATAACATACAAACTCTGAAATGGGGGCACTTGGGGCTGTAAGCAGGCCTTGCTTTGCTTTTCTTTGCCTTGGCCTTTGGCTAATAAGAAGCTTAGGCACTTTCACTAGTTGCTTCTATCCACCTTTGAAAGTCACCGTTACATCTGAGAGCCATCACAGCCCCAACTTCCATCCTTCATTCACTGATGTCCGCTTTCCAAGCCCAGACAGATGAGCTTGGGACAACCTGTGCACATTACTGTTATGGACGGAAGGAGCCTCTTCCTTCCTGTGTTCTCCAGCAAATCTCCATGTTCCTTCTCCCACCTAATGAGTTCCTAAGAAAAGAGGGTGAAAGGAGGGCTGTTAGACATCTGGCCTGGAAAAACTATTCCAAAGAGCCAGATGTGTCCCAGGGAGCAGACAGGGACATTGCAACTCAGGCTTGGGGGCACTGGCCAGCAATTGCCAGTCCAGGAAGTGAGTCCCCAGTGGATTTGGGTGAAGACTCAACACCACGGGGAAAAGGGAAAAAGCTTGTTTTTAAGAAGTCATCAAATCACCAGAATGAAGTCAGCCCTGTCATTTGTCTTTTGCTTTTGTTTATGAGCTTTTGGGTTTGTTTGGCTTTGTTTTTGTTTTGCCATACCAATGGTTTTAATTTTACCAGTCATGTGCTTTATTCTTGTCATTTATGGTTTCTACTTTTGGAGCCCCATTTAGAAAGTCTTTCTCAAACCTCCAAATTATGTAAATATTTTTTATTTTTGCCCCCTGTATGGCCAGATGCTTTCTTACTTATTTTTCCTAATTGGATAATGCATTGTCCTCAAATCACTTATTGAATAATCCATCCTACCCCACTGATTTGAAATGTTGCCGTTAGCCTGTTCACAAACTTACTCTGTGAACTTCACCCATGTGCTGTCCCTGCGTAGTACCCACACCCTCCCCAGTCAGTCAGTCTTCTTTACACACCTCTTCAGTGTGTCTATCCTTATGGATACACTTTAACAGCTACTCTGTTCCTACATCTTGCAGAAAAGTAAAATTGAGCTCCAGAAAACAGACTTTTCCAAGGTCCCATAGACCAAAACTCTCACCCTGTGATACCTCTTTCCTCTTTAATAATCCTTTTCTTTCCTGTGGGGCATTTAACTCCATACACCACTTTCTCATCCCTTATCTTCCATTTCTTATCTCTAGGGTTACCCTCAAATGATTGTGGAATAGCATTCTCAATTGTGAATAGCTATTGAGAAGTCCATCTTTGGGCACCCACCACTGGAGAACTCTAATCTCAAGGTCCCATGTTTAGTTTACCTGATACTTTGCAGAGAATGAGAGCCCATGCCAAGAGGGACCAGGCAAAGCAAAGGGAGTTAGAGGAAAGAAGCTGTTCTCTGAGCATCTTTCCCAGCAAGTCTCAGCTCTGGTTCTCTTGGAGCAGTGGGATTACCAAGTCTCTAGCAATGCATGGTAGAAAAGTCTCAGCTGGGCAAGGCCAGGTGGATACTAGGGCCTGAGCCTGAAAGAGATGTAATGATGGTGTGGCCCACTCCTCTCCACAGATACCTGGGCAAAGAGGGCTGGGCACCAGCATCCTACCTAAAGAAAGCCAAGGATGACCTGCCAACCCGGAAAAAGAATCTGGCGGGCCCCGTGGAGATCATTGGGAACATCATGGAGATCAGCAACCTGTTAAACAAGAAGACGTCTGGGGACAAGGAGACTCCACCAACTGAAGGCGAAGGCTCTGAGGCCCCCATTGCCAAAAAGGAGATAAGCTTGCCCATCCTGTGCAATGCTTCCAATGGTAGTGCCCTCGGTGTCCCTGAGAGGACCGTCTCCAAACTGGCCCAGGGCTCTCCAGCTGTGGCCAGGATTGCCCCTCAGAGGGCCCAGATCAGTAAGCACATCACTGACCTTAGGTCCTTGCCACAGAGCTCTTTATAGTGGGGGCAGAGAGTGCAAGGAAGGCCAGAAGAGAGAGTGGGACCTAAGCTACAGACTGAGGGATCCTGAGCCCTTATGCTGTCAGCTCAGGTCATTCTCATCACCAGTGGAGAAGGCAGGGGAGTGTGTGGCTGTGCCTCTCCCAGCCATCTCTCTGAAAGTAAGTCACATGAGTGCAGGCTATTAGCATTGCCCCTTCCCTAGAGACCAGGAACGGCCATTCTTCAGAGGAATGTAGTCTAAGAGAAAGAAGTGGTTTCTTCACACTATAATAAAGATTTTAAGAACCTAGTGGTTGATGTGTAGATGATTTAAAAATAAAGCCCTCAGTTCCCTGCTTTGTCAAGTACCTGCAGGGCTTCTGTTTGGAGTGAGAGATGTGAAAGATGGTAGGACATCTTCCTGGGACTTAAACCAGTATATTTTCTTTCTTTCTTTTCTTTTCTTTTTTTTTTTTTGCAGTACTGGGTTGGAACCAGGGGTGTGCAACCACTGAGCTACATCCCTAGCCCTTTTTATTATTTATTTTGAGACAGGACCTTGCTGGATTGCTCAGGCTGGCCTGCAACTTGCAATCCTCCTGCCCCAGCCTCCCAAGTCTCCAGGATTACAGGTGTGCACTAGCACACCCAGCTCTTCCACCAGTTTCTAGAAACCTGAAAGAATGAGCTGAGACTTTAGCACTCTCCACAAAGTGGTTTCAACAGAGTTTATGCCAAGGATCTCCTTTAGCTGGGCATGGTGGTGCACACCTATAATCCCAGCTGCTGGAGGAAAGCTGTTTTTTCAGTTGAGCTCTGACTTAGGTTCTTTTGGCCCTTGTGCATGAAACCTTTTAGGCATCAGCTGGGAAGTTGTCATTAGGTGTCCCCTCTTGCCTAGCTCTGTGCTAGCCTCTAAGGATTTAGAGTGAGCAAAAAATAGACATGCTGTTGTGCATTGCCTGAATGGAATTACTAAAGCCACGTCTCTTCTTCTAGGCTCCCCAAATCTAAGGACAAGACCTCCACCACGCCGAGAATCCAGCTTGGTATGTGTGCTGAATTTCTACTCCCTTTTTGTTCCTTTTCTGGGGCTGTTCTCTAGCAGCTCTGATTAAGAGGCTGTCTTGCTGCAGAGCCTACTGCCTAAAGGTTTTCCAGGGCTCTGTTGGGGCTTCCAGTTTTGGGGGGCTGGAGGCATGGAGGGAAGCCTGTAGATCCCGGCCTTTCTGGGGGCCTGGCTGGACAGTTTATAATCGGAAATACACTGCGCTCCACAGCTAAATAAATCCATCCCAGCCACTGCACTGGCAGACATAAACATTTAGACTGGCCGACAGCAATGTCCAACCAGGGCATTGCCAGGAGCTGGAAATGGGGCTGCTGTCCATGTTGCCTGGAAGACTTTCAGCTTTGCCTTGCTCAGGAATGCCTGGTGGATGTGGTGGATGTCAGAGCCTGGGAGGGCAGAGGGCAGATCCGTGAGTGGGGAGTTGCAAGGACAGGCTCACACCAAAGTTTATAGAGTGTCCCCACTGCTGGGTTCCGGGCTCTTATGGGTAGGGTTTCCTGGTGACCAGCATCTCAAGCAGGTAGATGTGCAGTCGGTCTAGGTCTTGGGGGGCCCAAATGGTGGTGGCAAGCTGAGAGTCCTGGAACAAAGAACTGTCATCAGGGCTGTGGACAGATTGGAGCTTCAGCCTGCCAGGCATGGCTGTGTGTTCTACTTTCAACATGTTGATGCAGAGACCCTAGGCAAGTCACTTACCCTCCTCAGGCTTCAATTTCCTTACAAGATAGGGACAGCCCTAGCTATCTCTTAGGGCTATCCTAAGGATAAGAAGCGATGCATAGGGCTGGCAGGCAATTTCCATTTCCCATATCAACTTGGCTATGGGATAGAATCTTCTGGTGTACAGGGAAAGATGCTAAGGTCATACCTGGGCTTAGCAACAAATCACTGTAATCAGTGACATCTACCCTTAGAGAGGGGATAGCATCAGTCCATGGAAGAGGAGACCTCTGTACATATAGGGCTTGGAAGATTTTGTTCCTTCCTTGCCCTAGCTATTGGCTTTCTTTTCCCCATGGGCTTACAACTGAACAATGGATTCTGCTTCCCTCCCATCTCTTTTAACACAAGCTAATTATTTTCAGGCAGACTTAATTTGTGTGAGAATGGGCTAATTCCTTCCACACACCAAATTCAGGGTTGCTGAAACAGGGCCACCATCCAGGTAGGTTCTGAATCTCACCTGGCCAGGAAGCACAGGATCACAGAGCCAGGCATTGGGCAAGGAGGGTTGACTGATTCACACCCAGTCCCTGAAAACCAGCTCCCTCCCACCCTCATTCACTGTGCTCCAAGACAGCTCTGTTTTGTTTGGTTTTGATTTTTGGTTTGGTTTTGGTTTTGATTTGGTACTGAATTCAGGAGCACTTAGCCACTGAGCCACATCCCCAGCCCTATGTTGTATTTTATTTAGAGACAGGGTCTCAAGGAGTTGCTTAACGCCTCACTTTTGCTGAGCCTGGCTTTGAACTCACAGTCCTCCTGCTTTAGCCTCCCGAGCTGCTGGGATTACAGGCTTGCTCCACCACACTCGGCTAACAGATCTGTTTGGATTGACAGGATTGGGATTAGGACATGAGGGTTTCAGGGGTGTTGACCTTTGGTCTTTGAGCTCTTCCTATGTCCCTTGCTGGACTAGAAGTTATCTACATATCTCAGTAAGTCTCTTAATGACCCTGTTATTAGTTCCATTTTGTAGATGAGGAAACTGAAGCTCAGAGAGTTGACATCAAGGGCCTCACACACAGCTGGTAAAATACTGGGACTGGAGCCCAGCAGTCTTCTAGGTCTTCCAATCACAGAAAAAGCGGGAGGGAGTGAGGGAGGCGGTGGTGGGGATCTACCCTAGGACTGAAAACAGTTGCCTCCTGCTACAGCACAGCTGCTTCCCCTCCTCATCTCTTCCCTCCTCCCCGCTCCCAGTTGGTTTGCTTTAACCCCTTCTGTATGAAGTAGGTCACACACACCCAAAGCCCATTCTAATCAGTGGAGGCTAACTGAAGCTAGAATCCACAAGGGCATGTTGTCCATTGGGGCTACTGTTGGATGCCCGGCATCTCAGATCAGCTTCTGGCACCTGGGAGCCACTAGCAAATGGTAGTAGAATGAACAAATGAGGCCCACGTTAGCCTGGAACCATGAGCTGGGGCAAAAAAAAAAACAAAAAGTATCCTTGACTGTGGAGTTTAGATGTTGCTGTACAGGGGTCTAAAAGGCACTTGGGACCTCAGTGTGTTCTATCTGCCTTGGAGACAGTGTCCTGAGTTCTAATCGGGGCTTCCCTAAACTTTTGGCACTGTCAGGATGAGCAGCTGAAGACTTCTCCCCAACTCCACTGCCCCTTGCACTCCCACCTCAGCCTCCTAGAGATGGTGAGCTCCCAGGCCCCGCCTGGCTGCCAGGCACCCCACCTGCAGCCCCTCACCTTTCAACTCAGGAGGGAGGCGCTCCTCTCCGGGAGCCAGTGCATGCATTTTGTCATAAGAATTTCTCTGCTTTATCGTTTTCATTTTGGGATCCAACTGTTGAGGCATCAGAAAACTGGCCCTCCAGAGATGGAAGCATAGAAACTCTAATATTAAGAGTAAGCATCTGCCAGCTCAGACCAGTCTCAAGTGAACCCTAAGTACCGCTGGAATCTCCTCAGGAGCGCAGCCTCTTGGGGATCTGCCCTGCAAGCGAGGACAGATGCCTGCGGGGCCAGCTGCTGTCCAGCTGGTCCAAACAGCCACACGCACATCCCCCAGGTGGAACGGGCACCGGTCCTTGGCCTTGTCGCCTCCCTGGTTAGCTGGATTTTGCTCAGTGTTCTCTTTCCACTTTAGGGGTTCCAGCTGCCGAAGCCACCAGAGCCCCCTTCTGTCGAGGTGGAGTACTACACCATTGCCGAGTTCCAATCGTGCATCTCTGACGGGATCAGCTTCCGTGGTGGACAGAAGGCAGAGGTGAGCCTTGGCCCCGACGCCGAGGGTTTCACTCATTGTGGTCAAGGCCTGCATTTCCCATTTTGCGTCTTGCTAGCAAGGTTCCTGGGACAAGAAGGGATGGTACAGAAACATGCCCCACAGTGAAGAGCACTTGCCTAAAGCTGGTCAGGGCCACAGTAGGGACTAGAAACCCGGATGTGTGCCTCCACCTGTGTGCACTCACGGTGCCAGAGCGTGGGTGGGAGCTGAGAATGGGTGCCTCAAAACAAAGGGCTGCTATAAGCACACAAACTCCGAGGAGAGGGGTTAAATAAGACCCAACTCATTTTGTTTTTATGGTGGCAAGGCTTCTCAGAGCCTAGGATAGGGTGACACCCAGTCTATCATAGTGGTATTGCTGGGCCTGCTGTTTGTCCCCACAGCCTTTCTCTCCCAGGAGCACTGCAGGGGCCTGCACCCCACAGAACCCACATCGTGAAGTGCTGTTATTGGGAGCCTGTGGTCCAGGCCGGTGCAGTAACAACATACTTAAGCCCCAGTGTGGCCACATCTGCACCACAGGACCTCTGGCCTTTGATACAGTTACTTCTTTCCCCCCAGGTTTTTAAGTAATTGTCTCTAAAAGGGGTACGAGACCCTGATGTGTGCCCCCCCACCACAACTGCCCTCCTAGCATTAAACAATTCTACACACACACACACACACACACACACACACTCACACGGGAAACCTTACAAGACTCCAGTGGATGGCTGCAACCATGGACAGTATCAAACCCAACATATACCGTTTTTTCCTGTACAGTCACAGTCGTGATAAAGTTGAACATATAAATTAGGCAGAGTAAGAGATCAACAATACCAACTAATAAAACACAACAATTACAACAATATACCATAATAAAAGTTACTTAAAACTTATGGATTGTATATTTCTGGAATTTTCCAGTTAATGGACCACAGATAATGGCAACCTTGGAACACAAAACCTTGGCTAAGGGAAAACGACTGTACTTCATGTTTTATTGGTGCTGAGCATGGTGTTCCAGGGGACAGAGAAGATTGTGACTGGTTCGTTTCTCTGGAGTAGCTTTGTATGGCCATGCAGTTAAATCCCAGAGACACGTGTGAAGCTGTCCGATTCACTGGGCTTCCTCTGCCGGCTGCAGAGCCGACACCCCAGCATGAATGTTTTCAACCACGTGTCTGGAACTTGGAACTATTTTCAAGAGAAATCATTCTCTCTAGTTCTAGGGTTTCCAGAAAAGCCTACAAACTTAGAATGAAGGTTTGGTGGGGCTGCAGAGGCATGGTCTCCAAAGAGCTCAATTGTCGTTCTCCACTCTCCCTCTCTTCTTTCCTTCCCCCCACTCCATGGTGCCAGTGTTTTCATGCTCCCCAGCCCCAGAAGTCTTCCTTGGGACCTTTTCCTCCACAAGTGTCCCACAATCCCAACTTATCTTCCCTTTACATTCCCCAGTTCAAATGAACCCCAGCACAACCAGCAGCTCATTCCTGGTCATTCGCCCATCTTAGAAGTCAAGGAGGAAGCTCCTTGAACTAGTTTATAATAACATGGAAATGATTGAATAAAAGCCCCTCACCCTTTCTACAGGAAGGCATTCAACCCAAAGAAATCTCAGGTCATGGAATTTCAGTAGGATTCCACAGTGAAATGACAGTAGTCAGGGGACACTGAGGAGATGTTTTGCCAAGAGGCTCTGGCTTAGGCCTATATGTCCCATTTCAATCCATCTATGACTTCCCCGAGACACCTTTTCAAGGGCCTCCCAGGAAGGATCTAGGAATATTGGGGGTGGGAGGAGGACTGGGTAGTGGAATGGTGGTGATTCTTTGTACATCTGGTTCCTTGGCAAGTTGGGCTTTGTAGGGACTGGGAACAGTGTGATAGTTTAGGGGAAGTGGAGGAGGTTTCTGTAGAGGAGGCCAGCTCAATACAGACTTGGAAGGTTAGGGGACAGTAGAAACCCCTCAACCAGGAGATGTTAGAGGCATGGTTTAAATTCTGATCTGTCATTTAACTGCAGTGGGTCTTGGGCCACTTTCTCAAGGGCTCAGTTTCCCATCTGCAAAGCGGAGGTGATAGAGCCCAGTGTGAGGCCCCTCATCTGGGACACCACAAGGTTCCAGAGACCCTCTCAGCTCACTGGCCTGACACCTCTTCCTCCCAGGTCATCGACAAGAACTCGGGCGGCTGGTGGTACGTGCAGATCGGTGAGAAGGAGGGCTGGGCCCCTGCGTCCTACATCGATAAGCGCAAGAAGCCCAACCTGAGCCGCCGCACGAGCACATTGACACGGCCCAAGGTCCCGCCGCCAGCACCCCCCAGCAAGCCCAAGGAGACCGAGGAGGGTCCTGTGGGTGCCAACGAGAGCCAGGATTCCCCACTGAAGCTCAAGTACGAGGAGCCCGAGTATGACATCCCCGCCTTTGGCTTTGACTCCGAGCCGGAGCTGAATGAGGAGCCCACAGAGGACAGAGGCTCAGGAGACCGGAAGCCTGCCCAGCCCCGTAGACCCTCACCTGCCTCCTCCCTGCAGCGGGCCCGCTTCAAGGTGGGCGAGTCTTCAGAAGACGTGGCCCTGGAAGAGGAGACCATCTATGAGAATGAGGGCTTCCGGCCATATGCAGAGGACGCTCTATCGACCAGAGGCTCCTCTGGGGACAGTGACTCCCCAGGTGGCTCCTCACTGTCCCTTGCCAGGAAAAACTCGCCCAAGTCGGGCTCCCCAAAGTCATCATCGCTCCTGAAGCTCAAGGCAGAGAAGAACGCCCAGGCTGAACTGGGGAAAAACCACTCCTCGGCCTCCTTTTCCTCGTCCATCACCATCAACACCACCTGCTCCTCCTCTTCCTCCTCTTCCTCCTCCCTGTCAAAGAACAGTGGTGACCTGAAGCCCCGCTCTGCCTCGGACGCAGGCATCCGTGGTACTCCCAAGGTCGGGGCCAAGAAGGACACTGATATGAGGGCTGGGCTGACCTCCTGTGCCCGGGCCAAGCCATCTGTCCGGCCTAAGCCCTTCCTGAACCGGGCAGAGTCACAGAGTCAAGAGAAGATGGACATCAGCACTTTACGACGCCAACTGAGACCCACAGGCCAGCTCCGGGGGGGCCTCAAGGGCTCAAGGAGTGAGGATTCAGAGCTGCCCCCACATACAGCCTCCGAGGGGCCCAGTGAGGGGGCCAGGAGAGGCTCAGCCGACATCATCACCCTCCCGGCCACTGCTCTCCCGTGTACCCCCAAGAAGGAGTGGGAAGGGCCAGCCACCTCCTATGTGACATGTAGCGCCTACCAGAAGGTCCAGGACTCGGAGATCAGTTTCCCTGCCGGCGTGGAGGTGCAGGTGCTGGAGAAGCAGGAGAGTGGCTGGTGGTATGTGAAGTTTGGGGAGCTGGAGGGCTGGGCCCCTTCCCACTACTTGGTGCCCGATGAGAACGAGCAGACTAACACCCCTGGCAAAGAGCAGGATGTGCTAAAGAGCAGGCAGAATGAGGGCAAGTCAGACAGCCTGGAGAAGATCGAGAAGCGGGTGCAGGCGCTCAACACCGTCAACCAGAGCAAGAGGGCCACACCGCCTATCCCCTCCAAGCCCCCGGGAGGCTTTGGCAAGACATCAGGTGCTGTGGCGGTGAAGATGAGAAACGGTGTGCGACAGGTAGCAGTCAGGCCCCAGTCGGTGTTTGTGTCCCCACCACCCAAAGACAACAACCTGTCCTGTGCCCTGCGAAGGAATGAGTCACTCACAGCCACCGACAGCCTGCGAGGCGTCCGCAGGAACTCCTCCTTCAGCACAGCACGCCCAGCGGCCGCGGAGGCCAAGGGTCGCCTGGCGGAGCGGGCCGCCAGCCAGGGCTCCGACTCACCCCTGCTGCCCACACAGCGCAATGGCATCCCTGTGTCCCCTGTGCGCCCCAAGCCCATCGAGAGGTCCCAGTTCATCCACAATAACCTCAAAGATGTGTACGTCTCTATTGCAGACTATGAGGGGGATGAGGAGACCGCGGGCTTCCAGGAGGGGGTGTCCATGGAGGTACTGGAGAGGAACCCCAATGGCTGGTGGTACTGCCAGATCCTGGATGATGTGAAGCCCTTCAAAGGCTGGGTGCCCTCCAACTACCTGGAGAAAAAGAACTAACCGAGGTTGTGCAGTCACTCCAGCCTCTGTGCCACTGTACCCGCCACTGGATGAGCAGTGACATGCAGACCAAAGGGGAAGGACAAAATGGGAGGGGGTGGGGGAAGAGCAACATTAAACCCTGCAGATGTGGGACCTTAAAGATGGCCCGCCTCCCAGCTGTTGCCTGGAAGGGAGGATACATTGAATAGGGGAGGGAATGACCTAGAACCCAGAGATGAGAAAGTTGGGACCTACGTGTGCACCTTGGTGACTTCATTGACGGACTACATGTCATTTGGGACAGGCCATGTGGGAAACCCCAATTGTGCCTTTGCTGCAAATCTGGAAAAGATGTGGTCATAGGGGGGCCTCCAGCATTCTGCCCATTGGGCTGTTTTGGTGGCTACCATGTTGCCACCAGAGGTAGCCCTTGTATTGTCCTTATCCATGTTTGTGGATTGTGCTGTTTCCCAGGGATTGCCACCACCCACCATGGCTGGATGCATGTGAAGACCCCACAGGCCCTGGGACTTGGAGTTGTCTCATGAGCTCACGTCTCTCCCGGGGCCAGGCCACTATCGGTGTCTGGGAGTTAAAGAAAACACAGTTCCCAGGTGCCAGCAAGAACTACCTTCTTAGCTGTCATTGCCCTGGCCTTGAGAAGAGAGTCCGCCCTCCTTGGGGTACCCCATGGAGGACACAGTGCTGGAGTTTAGAGAGGGTAGGGGAAGCCGTCAGGCTCTCCGTCATCAGCACAGACTACTTGGGGTATTTTTGGGCGAGCAGTTCCTTTGCATGTTTCGGGAGAGGTTTGTTGACTTGGGGTTTATATGTCAGGCCTTTGGTTGGGTCTTATTTTAGGAGTTGTTTGGGCACCCTGGGGGGTCAGCCTCACATGGGAACAGAAGGGGTGGAGGGTGGGCTTTTCTGTTGTACTCTGTGGAGGGGTGTTTTGTTTTGTATTTGGCTTCCCATCCTCCCCTCCATAAGCCATGTCGTTTCGTTTGGTTTCCACTGTGTGGACTTTGCCTGCGCGGCACTTGCCAGAGGGATTTGGGGCTGGGTAAGCCCAGGTCTCAGTCTTGGCAAAATAGAGAAACTGTCCTTCTGGTTCCTGCCCAACCTTGGTGGGGCAAAAACCCTCCCCAGGAGGGAGGAAGGTGTTGTTAGGAGCCAGACCTTTGGAGAGAAGGCAGCGCCCAGGCTGCTGGGTGGCTGCCATTCTGTGTATGTTCTCCCACCAGGGCAGGGCCGAAAGCCTTACAGAGACTGTGGAGAAGCAGCCGTGGCCCCCACCCTGGGTGGAGGGGACCCCAGCTGGGCCTCCTGGGTCAGACTGGAGCAGACACCACCAGCCACTCCTCTGGCCTACTGGCAATGCCACAGTTGCTCGCGAAGAAGGAGGACCCTGTGCCTGGAGCCAGTCTGGTCTTCCCGGGGGCAGTGCCCCAGTGAAGAAAGAAGCAAGAGAGTGACATTTCCTGCAGGTCTTCTGTCAACTTTGGGTTGTTTTTCCGTTGTTGATATCTCAGAGGGACTCTCCAGAAAGAAGCCCAGCCAGCTTCTCCAAGGACTCACCCTATGTTGGGAGTGGATTTCCGCACGTGCCTTTGATTTCAGACAGACCAGGCTTCACAGCCACCGAATGAGCTGCCAGAATCACCAGACTAAGGGCTGTTGTTTCCTACAGAGGAGGGAAGCCCTGCCCTCACCTGCTCCCCCGAGCAGGCCTTCACCCTCTCCCCCACCCTCCAGGATCCCAGAGGCCTTGCCTGGGATCCCCGAGCCCTCACCACACACTGATCCTGGCAGCTGTAGCCAACTGCTCGCGTTTTTTGTCAGAGGGCCGTGGTGAGATTGTTTTGTTTCCTTTTGTTTTGTTCGCGAGTTTGTTTAAAATCAAAATTAGATATTTTCTTCTGCTGGACAGTATTAAATAGAGCAGGATGTTGAGTTAATCTGCTAGATTGCAGTACTAATGGTAGTGGATTAGTGTCTTCATATTAATATTATTTTTACTTATTTGAACAATAATGATAAAGAAGTGGTTCATTATTTTTTAATTAATGCACTTTAAGGTGGAATGGAAAGAAACCCAGAGAGCAAAGTGCATTACTTAAAGATGCAGTATATACTTTTCTCATTTTTAAACAGCACATATTTATTAAAAGAAAAAAAAGTAATTTATGATTATTTAAAATAAAATTTAAAAGTAGAGTGTCTGTCGGGTTAAAGGACCTTCCACATAGCTGCCTTCCTGGGGAGGGCCCGTGGCCTCGCTCCACAGATGTCCGCTCTGAGCCAGTTGAATCACTAGCACACCGCCGGCCAGGGCCGGAGGGAGCACAGCACATGGTGGCTGCCAAGTACAGAGCATCTCAGTTGGACTGGACCAACCACAGTGCTCCCCAGAGCCTGCCTCCCCTGCCCCACGTGTGCATCTGCCCCGTCAGGCTCTCTACCACCCACCAGTCCCCCAGCCCCTCAAGGACCCCCTCTCCTTGATTCCCAGTGCCCTGAAGCCAGAGAGTCATTAAAAAGCAGGGCTGGAAGGGACCCTGGAGGTCGCTCCATCCCATCCCTTCCTGTTACTGCAGCCCAAGGACAGGAAGAGACTTTCTCAAAATCACACAGCTAGTTAATGGCAGACTCCCCACTGCATTAATCCTGTGTCTTTCCCGCCCCCATTATAGCTTATTCTGTGGTCGTCATGTTTACATTGTGACATCCAGCCCCAAGGATGGCTGGGAGTTGCTCAGGCATCCAGGAAAAGTGGGAAATGCTGCCACCTGGTGACATCACGTAGATTTGGGCAGTGAACAGGGATCGCCACGCCCTCGTCTAGACCCCACTCCTGACCCCTCCCCTTCAGCCCCTGCCTCCCAGCACAGCAGAAGCCCTGCAACCCAAAGGATATTAATACTTGAAGTAAGAAGGGTGCATGCCAGTCCTTCTCAGATATGGCCAGGGGGTGCCAAGCCTTGTGCCCCTGGACTCCTAGCCCTACCCTGGGCAAGAGGGCCTTTCCCTAGAGCTACTGAGCTGCTTTGTGACATTGGAGGAAACTGCCAGCAGCAGCGGAGGAGGGAGGGGGCCTGGGGTTCTGACCCACCAGGAGGAAAACCAGATCGGACTAAAAGGAAAGAAAAATGAAATCTCAGCAATGTCCAAACCTAGTTTTCCATTAGTTGCAATTGAAAATGTGAAATGACATTGTATTGCTGTATACTGCAACTTTAACCATAATGAGCCCTTCTGCGGTCATTATTGAGGTTTATATAATGCCCGAAGTTGCATCCTTTGGTGCTTTGTTTTTCTATTCAGTTTAAAGACCTTTTTCTTTTATTACAAGGGGAAAAAAAATACGTCTTCATCTCTCTCCCACCTTGTCCTTCTTTGTCTCGGCCGGCCTGGCGTGTTGCCTGGCTCCTCTGTGCTCAAGAGGAAGCTGGAAAGGGGCACCCCTGAGCAGCAGGTGTGCGGTCTGCCTTGGGGTTCCCCTCCACCCAGCGGGCTTTGTCTGCCAGGCTTCAGTCTGTCCAACCCCCGCCTGGCTCCAAAGATTTCTCTCTTCCTCTCTTCTCCATCTTGACGAAGGCATTATATAGAATCGTTGTAATCACTTTCAGATGTTAGAGCAGCATATTTTACTGGCATTTGTATCCATCGCTTTCCTCAGTAAGGCATGTTACTACTTTCATCATCTTAAGGAAAAAAGACAAGGGAATTTCGATCAAACGTTATTTTCATATTACTAGTACTTGCAGAGTAGGCGTAGAACTATTTAAGTTTAGATTTTGGTTTGGTAGTTTGTTTTTAAGGGGGAAAAATGAAATAGCCCCTACTTTTCCTGTTTTTGTATTTAACTAATATAATATTTCTTTAAGGTTACTCACTTCCCCTACCCCTTTCAAATACTTTGCATTCTCAATTGAAATGAAAACAATCTGAGAGACAGGAAAAGTGCAATATTACCAAGAGGGATGCCAGGGCTTATTGGCATGGTGGAGAAAGACCCTATGGTCTAGTCTGCAGAAAGTTGGAGGGGGACTGCTGGGAGGAATCGGAACTGTGGAACTGACAGGTGGGCTTTGGGGTTTGATGTTTTAGCCCTCTCCCTCTCCTGCTTCCCTGGCAAGTTGGTAGGGTTCCCCACCAGAGGGCAACCCCTGTTACTATTGGGTATCATCCACCCAGAAGAAAGGGATTCAGGGAAGAGGCGTGGGGGCTCTTGACCTCCTGGGCCCAGTCTCCAGAGCAGAGTGAGGACATCCAGGAACTGTTCCTTGTTTTCATTTCCATTGTTTCCAGCCAGCTGCTCAGAGAGACCTGTCCTAAAATTGCCTCCCAGCAGCCCTCTACCCCATTCCCCCTGCCCCCAGTCTCCTGATGTTTGGGCTGTGATCCTTTTGATGTATGTCTGAATCTTTCTAAAACTATGAAACCTCAGTTCAGTTTATGGGCAGGAAACCTAGATGTAACCAAACCCATCTGGAGGGTGTGGGCACCGAGGCCTACCCCAGGGAGATGGAATTCCCGCAGACCTGCAGCAGGGCCCGGCACTGAGCCCAGCTGCCCATTCATCTCAGCGACTTCAGCCTGAGCAGCAAGCCCTGCCTGTGCTCCACACCCAGACAGTCTGCAGGAGTTCTCGGAGAAGACTCAGAGGGGTCTACTTAGATCTCTGCAGACAGATGCCCCCACAACAGGCACCAAGCCAGATGCCTCCTTTCTTGGTGCTGATAGAGAAAGTGGCAGGCTGGGAAGTCTCCTGGGGTCCAGACCAGGAGCTCTGCCCCTCAGGGCAGCAGGCATGCCCTTGCTGGTTTGTCCCCTCCACCTCCAGTACTGTACGTTTGCTGCTCCAACCCCATATTTGGTGAATTTCTGTACAGACATGGATCTCTGTGCCCAGAGTAAGACTCAAGCCCCTGTGTGAGTCTCCCTTGGAATGACACATCCACATAGCCAATCATCTTTGAGAATCTTGATGCAGAGCTCTCTAGAAAGAGAACTGTCCACATCACTAAAAAATTACTGTTCCCTCACTTTTTTGAGGGTTGTGAGTTGAGTGTGTGTGCACACGTGTGTGCATGCATGTGTGCATGTGAGTGTTGGTAAT